GGGAAGAAGCGGAGGGGTAGGCGAAGGAGAGGGGAAAGCCCTCTGAGGCGGGGTCGCTGAAGCGGGTGGCTGCCTAATTCCCTCTTCCTCCCTTGCAGGTGGAAGGATCGTGAAGTCTCGTTACCTGCAGTACGATAAGAAGGAAACCAAAAAGGTACCTAGGCGCCTCGCTGTGGGGCTCTGGGGTCTCTCAGCAGGGGCTAGAAATGGTCCCAGCTGGCGGTTTGGACTTCTAGAGGTGTGACCTGTGTAGAAGACAGCCCTGCTGGGGTCTGAGGGAGCCGTTATTTATTGGCAAATAGCTACAGACAGGGATGGCAACTTAAGACTGTATTCAGCTGATTTGCAAAGCACCAAGACGCCCTAGGATAGAAGTTGTTTATTTGTCAGCATTCAAATAGGATTAAAATAATATCACTGCTTGTAATTGCTGCTTATGTTCAGTCTTATCTGTTTCTTGGTTGTCAGGATAGTTCAGCAAATTCTTTTACAACTCCTACTGCCAAACCATTTGAAAAAGGAGAGAGCCTACCAAGCAGATCAGTTCTTCCTCAGAAATGCAAAACTTCTGCTGGTAGGTTTTACCAGAAGAATTTAAAAACTGTTCTTTGAGGACCTTTATTTCCAACCTGTGGAACTCCTAACAACTCAAAAAATGTCTTTAAGAGCTGATGTTTTGTATTACCTTTACTACTGCTAGTTATTTTGAAGATATATGCAAGGAGAGTTAAGATGTGTGAACTTGATGTGGGATTAGGAGGTGTAAACTGAAATGCATTAAACTTTTGTCTAGACTTTCTCCTATGAAACTATTCTGGAATAAAGTAATTGAGTTGTCTAGAATAAGGATATCTCTTACCTTGTCTGTGAAACTTTGAACTATTATTTCAATATGGCCTCATTGTTGCTTCAGGTTTTTCTTTAAAGTGTTGCAATAAACCCAGTGTAAAACGTAAGTCCCTCAGCACATAATTATCTGCAAAGCTGTCCTTTTATAATTCTTTTGCAAGAATTGCAAGAGAATGTGCTGGTGAGACCTTAACTTAACATGAAAATCCTGAGGAAATATGTGATTTGCTCTTTATACTTAAGTGCTATTGCAGAGCTGTGAAATGGTTGAGGATAAGTTCTGAACTACTTTAACTCTAGGTAAGTTAAGAGCTATACAAATGGTGTATATAAAGTAAACGTATAAAAGTTCCCATGAAGTTGCCAGATGTTAGTGAAAGAATATACAATTGTAAACTTGTGCGGAATTGTTCCAGTTGTTTTAGTCTGACAACAGCTTCTTTCTACAGGTGCTGTCCCTTGCTCATTAAATCAGAGCAGTTTTGAGAAAGGTGACTTACAGTCCACTTTATTAGATGAAGATAAAACTACTCGACCTGACCTTGATCTTTCAGCCATTAATGGTAAGCTCCACTCAAATTTACTTTCTTGCTTTATTATTTTTAGTTTATTATAGTATAACTTCATTATCAATAACACTCATGCTGTATTGTAGTCACGTGAAGATATTGTTAAAGATACATAAGGTAAATCTTATTTTTAAGTAAGTACCATTGAGCAGAGGTATTGAGGTCTTTGGAGATTAAATTAACCTCTTGATTTTGAATATCTTCTGGGTACTCTTTTTTCTTTTTGAGATCTAATATTAAAGAACAAAGCACCCTCAAGTATTTGTTTCTACAGCACATGGGTTTTAATCAGCCCTTCTGAAAACTGGACCACATCTGTCTGTAACTGTCATGTAAAGCTGAAATATAAAGTATAAAATGCTTGTCTGAGCCACGTTTTCTCATGAGTATAATCCAAGCCAGAAACAGAGCACAAGCCTCTTTTACTGGAATACACAATCATTTCAAAATTCTCTTTGCTTTTGAAGAACTTCATGATGCCTTGCTTCATGCATTTTGGGGAAAAAAGAGTAATAACATCTCTCTTGTTCTGATACAGAAAAGAGTCTTCTTAAGAAGACTTCTAGTTCAAAGACCGTTTGCAAAACGGGTACAAGGACAAGTGGAAAAAAGCAGAATGCGGTGAGTCTCACTGCCTTATCTTAAATATTTATTTTGAAATGTGCCAAAGGAGTATTTTCTCTTTATCTCTAATCTTGGCAGCAAAAGTTGAGGTTTCCAGGATGGTGCATCTGCCTTAGAGCAGAAGTCAGACAGTAGGTCTATTCTACTGCTGGTAGAACAGGTTAAAAACATAAACAACAGTTTTTGCTTCCACCTCTTGTGATACAGAGTCTGCTCTAGTTGCAGCATTTGTTCAAGTCAATTCTTCTTGTATTCCTTTCTGTACTTTTTACTGATATCCTGTTATCTTTAAATGTTTTCTGACACTTTTTCACCAGAAAATTAACGGTGGCTCAACCTAATTCTGAAGTACTTTGTAACATAGCAGCGCGTTCAACATAGCACTGAAACTTCAAGTTCTCTGCGACTGTTTTGAACATCCGCTGAAAGCGTGATGAAAAATGGTGGAACAGTGAATAAACAAGCTGGTTAAGTTATCTCTAGTTAATGTGCAACGTTTAAAAACCCAAACAGTTCATACAGCTAACAGTTGTTGATAGTAATGCTGATTCTGGGTGCAAATTAGACTTCCAGTAATTTATTTGAACGCTGAAAAAAATGATTTAAATACTGAAATTGATCTAGTATGTTCTTTTCTTTTTAAAAGAAATCTGATTCTGATGTTCTGAAGGAATTGTTGGCATCTCAGACACTGCTTTTAACTTACCTAAGAGTGAAGGTGAGACTCGGTCAAGTATTTGGTACGTCAGATAGAAAAGAAATCAAGCAGCTCTTCCATACCAAGTTCTGTGCTTTCTAATCCATAAAAGTTAGATTTTTATGATTTTTACATATTTACGGCTGTGGAACTATGCAACTTGCTTTGAAAACTCTCCTGGAGTGAATTCTGCGCCAGTTCGTTAGGCTGATGCCAGTTCTTCGTGAAACGTGCAGAGGGTGCAGAAGTCTTAGGAAAACTGGGGGTGAGAGTGCTTGGATTTCAAGGGTGTAGCAATTACTTTGTTCACCCCGTGCTAAACGTGTGTATTTTTCCTTTACAAAAGATATCGGCAGGGATGGGGGGAGAGGATGGAGTGGCTTTAACTGAAAGGTACTGTGCTCGTTGCATGAAGTCTCTGGTTCCCTAATTGAAGCTATTTGAACTTGAATCTGAGATTTTCATGTGCTGCTTCAGAGCATTAATTATAGCCTCATTTTGGTTATGAATATTTTTGGATTTAATAGGCAGGAAAAAATCTTGCCCAGCTGGAGGAAAAAGCAGAAGAAAACTTGCTAATGTTGTGTGAAGAAAAGGAGAGGCAACAGGAGAAGCTCTGTGAGTTGAAGCGTGAGTTCCTGCTCAAAGAGAGAGAGCAGGAACTGGAAGATGTGTTAGACAAACAGGTAGGCTTTATTACAAGTCACACTTCCCCTGCATTTAAACAAGCTCTGTTATGAAGTAGTCTTTTCTTCAGACAGATTTCTGTTTCTGTGGCCTGCCAGTATAGAGTTTTATGCATCTTGGACAAAAGAAACGTCTACTTCCTGTCGTGCCATGTTATGCTCTCTAGTAACCTAAACAAATGCCTGCGTCACTTTTTGCTGTCCTTTGTGGATAGGCAGGAAGGAGAAGTTAGAGCTGTTAGGCAAGGGGGAGCAGTAGTGCACCAGTTGCCAGAGCAGCTTATAGTTGATGCACAAGAGACTTAAGTGGCTTAAAACCGCATGAACATCCTGCAGTTATGTAATTATAGTTGTTATGGCCAGAGCTGAGAGGCAAACACCCCTGTCCTTTATCTGTCTTATTTTTGTATGTTAGACGGCAGTAGTTCCGGCCTGACTGTAAGAAGGCAAGTTTCTAATAATTTTCTTAATAATAGATGATCTTAGAAGCTAAAGCCTCCCGTCTTTCTCGGTATTTTGTAAGTTTTATTGTGTCAAATTGGACAGATAGTATTGTTGGAATAATTAATTTTAAAAGCTAAACTTTTGTTTGCTTTTAACAAATATGCATTGCATATTTGCAGTTTTGTAAAAATTAAACAGTTAAGACTTTTTTCTCTTGGGGAATACACTATATCTGCAGTCCAAAGATGAAAGGCAAAATGTTTTGCCTGCTACATTTCTAACGCTTCTGAACTATAGCGACGAGGAAACTGGCAGTGACGCTTTTGGGGTGGTAGAGGAAAATCTATTAAACAGTAGAATAGGAATAACTTACCATAAACTTCTTGAATTCTTCTGTCAAAGAGCATTTCAAAGTGGTATTTGGGATTTTTTTATTATTATTTTTTTCTGCATTGAACCAGACCTGAATCACAATCTATAGGTATATAAGCCAGCTCATGCATTCTAACTCTTTCTAAAATGGCTTCTTTCTGATGAAGTGTTCATCATGTGTCCTTTTCAGATGGAAGTACTTGCTCCCCTTGTTCCTGTTTGTGAACAGTTTAAAGAGCAATATAAAAGCTTTGCAGCTTCCCTGGATGCTACTAGACATGAATTACCTGTGAAGAATATACACATAGAGGGAGATACACTAACATATCTGGGTAGGACAACTTGAATTTTCAAATTCACAAATAGTGTTTTGCAGTATGCTAAAATTCTTACTTTGTTATTGCTAGATTTATTTATAGCCGTTGGATGAATGTTGTGTGCTGCTCTTGGAGTCTGTACGGACACTGGGCTGCAACAGTAGCCACGTGTTTTACTATGGATAATTCTTGTCGCTGTTTAACCATTTAGATGTACGTGTTCATTATTTTTATCTATTAGCCAGAAAAATGATTTCTAAGTTAGGACAGTTATTTTCTTTTAGAAAGTTTCTGTATCCTTTTTTCTTTTCTTTTTCTTTTCTTTTTTTTTTTTTAACTATATCCCTCCTGTTCCTCCACCCCCTTTCTTGTTCCTAATGTGTCTGCAAGTTGTACAGTTGTAGTAGTATCTTGGTCTCTTTTTGTTTCTCTCTTTGAGGGATATAGCCATGCGGATAGATTTGCTTGTGTTCATGTAATGTACTTAAGCTCTAGCTTTACAGAGAAGTCTTAGTGTTTGCCTAATAAATCTGTACTTGTGCTCTCTACTGAAGTCTGTGCAAAAACTTACAAACTTCTTCTAGCTATTGGTCTGTCTAGCATCAAGCAAGTGGATCTTAATAGCCTCTTGCTGCAGTTAGTCTTTGTAACTCTGAACTCGGCTTTCATAATTTTTTCACTGTGTATTTGTGAATGCTGAGCAAGCACTGGTTTTCCAATATCTGGTTCACCTCTCTCTGGTTCAGCTGCTAAGTTGTTAATAATCTTGCATTAAATGATGCCCCTGTGCATTTTTGAGTAATGTTTTTAACATATCCTATGTTGTAGATGAACTGCAAAAGCATTTAACTGTCACACAGGAGCTTCTGGCAGAAGTTACGCCTAGCTGCTCAGAAGAAAATGCAAAAGCACCCACTCTACTGAAGGAGCTTAAAGAAGTGTCTCAGGAACTGGATAAAGAGCTTCAAAGGTATTTACAAGAATCGGGTGAAAAGACTCTCCAACTCGATATTCAGAGAAAACCTACAGATCTCAACTTTTGAATTCAGCATGTGTATTGGAGGATTAATTGCTAATTAATTGAGCACTAAGTTTAATTTGTTGGTAGCAGACAGCCACATTTCTGTCCCTGCCCTCACCTACACAAAAGTCAAAAGGAAGATGTTTTTTCTTGTTTATATATTCTAAATAAGACACTTCAGCATGACATCTCTGATGCTTTAGCTGAGAATTTCGGTGAGCAAGGGTAACCCTAGTAGAGTGCAAATATGTAAGAGAGTAGAGAACTCCAGGAGGTAGAAAAGTGATCTGGAAGCACTCAGTCTTAAAGAATAATTGTACAAATACAACTGTAGCCTTGCTTTTCATTTCTTCCCTTATCGAGTCATGTACTTTCCCTCTGTATTGGACATCATCCCTGAGCAGGTACAAAGAGCACGGAAAGGTTTCTTCTTTGAGTATAGCGTCAACAAATTCGGAATGTCACTGAGAGCGTGAGGAAGAGATGTAATACGATAAATTTCCTTTCCTCCCTTCTCGAAGAAGAAGCTACAACTAAAATCTTTGAAGGCTGATAGACCCTGAACTTGGGCACTTATCTCCCTGTTCTGGAAATTCCCCCTTCCTCTCCTCCAAATTCTTGCCCTTGAGAAGCAAATTCTTAATTTACATTCTTCTTCTGGTGGCTATCTAGTAGGAGAATCTTGTGAATCTCCAGGTACGTGGCCTTTGTGAGCGAGCAGAAGTTATGATCCTCCACTGTAACTGATTTAGCCTGCTTGGTTTGTTCCAGGAGCTTCACGCAAGTGCAGAACCTGTCGTTTGAAGTCAGTAAAGAAGTTTCTCTGCATAACCAAAGAATATGCGAAGAGAACCATGGACTAGATGCTGTGAAACGTTGGTACTTCAGCTAAATTTTTACTGATAGGTGGGATCTAATCAGTGCCAACAGACTTATCTTTTTACTTCTTGTATAAACCTACGACTTGTCCAACTTTTCAATGATACCAGAATATGAAACCTGCAACATATATGACAATATAAGATACAGAGTTCTCTTCTGTAAGGAAACATCCTTTTTCAGATGTGTGTTTCTCATTTCCCTGTGGCACCTTCCTCCTCATTTTCTCCCTGACAGCACTGAAAGGTAAACCATAGGAAATGCTATTCTTAGGAAATACTGCATCTTGTATGTGGCTTCAAGTGCACTGACTTGCATCTCTTCCCAAAGTAGTGTCCCTTAAAGGGCAACCTATCAGAATATAGATACGGAATTGTGCATGTGATACTGTGCATTTGCTGATCTAGTCAGGAGATCTGTAGGACTATACAGCATGAATATTGATGACTCAGTGAGCAGCTTCTGGAGGAACTGTAATTGTCCCTTGTTTCTTGATTTACCAAGAGGAAAAGGTACGTGAGTAGCTAATAGCGAGGCTGATGAATGGGAGGAACCTGATCACTTGCAACAGTGAAAAGTTGTGGTATTTTGTTGCCTAATTGTCTTGGAAACAAATTATTAAAATCTGACATGCTTTCGTATTAACTTGACACGTTCTTTTTAAGGACTCTATATTTTCATTTTATAATAAAAGTTGTCTTTTGCTGCTGTATGAATAGCCTTCATTTTTGAATATTTTCATTTATCTCCTGCAGAAGCTTCTGTTTCTGTCTGGACTTGTATAGGGCTAATACTATACAATATAAACAGTGATGGATTTATAGGCATTAACTAGTCCAAATGGCAAGCCATGTCCTCCTGCCACCCAAAGTGCTGAGTGTATGTGGACAGAAACCTCTAACCTAAATGCTGAGCAAGTGCCTGGATGAGCAACAGAAAACATCTGTTATGAACGGACGTGCCAAATGTGCCACTCCACCTCCCAACATACTTTCCATTTTTATAAGTGGAATGTATATAGCTGTCTGACAAACATGTATCCTATGTTTTGTACCTGTGGAACCTCTTTCTGTGATGTTTTCTCAAAAGCTTTGCTTTGTATTGTTTGCAAACTGGTACACTTCTGGCTTATCAACCTTTTTTGCCTCCTCAAAAACATATTTGGAGCATTCCCCTTGTACTCTTTGAAATATTCTTAAACTTCATAAATATTTCAGGTTTTATTGTTGGTATTAACAGCCTAACTAGATCCTGTCTCCTCTTATTTGAAAATAGGATTAAATTAAGCTATAGTAACTGAGTCGGTAAGGTGTGCAGTGTAATGAGTTGAGAAGTCCAATAGCTATTAAGACCTTAAGAGCTATTGTGTATAATTTCAATGTCTCTATTCATAGCAATTTATCCATGGGCCAGTGGGAGGGCAACAAGTAACTTTAAGATATTAATCTGGAATCTCTACTTCCTCAAACATGTTGGGTGAACAGCCCCCAATAGTTCACCTGTGTGTGCTGCCATACAGGCCATGAGTCACAGATGCTGCAAACAGCAGGTTCATAGACCTGGTCAGGACCATGAGATGCGCCTCCGAAGTTGACCACAGGATGGGGAACTTTGCTAAGCAGTCAATTCTGGTGTCCCCCCGCCCCCCCGCCCCTGCAAGGGTGGAACTCTAAATAGAAAGGCTCCTATATGATGAAGCCATTGGTCAGGCAGCTGGTTTTCCTAAGTTAGGGTGATTTCTAGGCTGTTTGTCCTCATGCCTTTAACTTGCTTATCAGAAATGTGCCCTTCTGACACTCAAACTGTACTTAGAAAATTAAGAGGGTTCTTCTTAAATTTGACAGAGGAAGGATGTAATAAAAAAAATTATACTATTTTGATAATTCTGTCTCTGCATAGACACAAGGCAGAAGTGTTTCTCCTACAATTTCGTGATGTTAGACCTCGTTCCTTTCTATGATTACTTTTTTTTTTTTTTAAAGCTAGTTTTAGGAAATATTGACTTTTAATTTGAGACATATCCTCTTCAGTCAGCTGATTTTTCCACCATTAAGATACTACTATAGTGTATAGATACCAAAATATTATATTACTGAAACAACAGAGAATAATACTAATTTTTTAGAAGTAATTTTATTTCTAAATAACATATGATTGATCTCAGGGACACTGTTTCTATCCAAAGAATAAATGTACGTGTTCTGATTTTAATAATACTGGGTAAACTCTTTTGCTTAGTAATTTGGAGAGGACTAGAACAGGTCTTAGGTAGTCTCAGCTTCCTTCTGGATTTTCTCACCCTGATCATTTTATAAGCTGTTGAATTGTTATATCTGCAATGATCCTGTGAAGTGGAATACTATTATTTCCACCCCCTGAAGAAAGGTGTGCAGGGGGTTCTGCTGACAGTGGTCAGAATTAGAGGCTCTAAATCTTTCGGTCCAGTAGTTCATTCCTGATGCTGCAGATGGCAGTCATTATCTATACAAGCCTAAGGCAAAGTGGGAGTCTACAGTTAGAGGAGCTAAAGGCCAGCTGCATGCACAAAACAAAGTGCTCAGGGATGTGCACTCATTGTTTCAGAAGAGTAATAGACAGTGTCTTTACTTGAGCGTGCTGGCCATTCTTTTCCTTAAACTGAACACTTGAATAATTCTTTCTACGGATGGTAGAACAAGTCTTAGATAAAGCAGCTCAGCCTCTCTAGGGAAGTATTTTGAACCATTTTGGACTGAGGGTCTCTTCCATTTTGATTTTCCTGAACATTAGTTCTAAGTGGCTTCATTTTGGCTCATTGAAGAAATAAAATGTTTTAGGCTCTTCCACTTTAAAATAGTCATAGGCATTAAACATTGTCATATTTAACACCGTACAGACAAAAAACCCAAGAAAAAAGACTGCAGAATCACTGGAGCAGGAGCTAAACAGATGTAACACCACCTATTTTGTATTTCCCGCTTATTTTCTGGAAATGTCGCATGTCTCAAAAGCTCTGAATCTGGTAGGAATCCTGAACAACTTAAGAGTGATAATATAGAGCTCTTTTTCTTCTGGTTATTGGTCTCTTTTTTTCTTTTGCACCTAGAATTAAGAATGTTCCCCTTATATTGTAACAATGTACATTTAGGCTTATTCTGTCTGAACTAGTGCAGTATTTAATATCTACGTATTCATCCTTCATATTCATAGAAGTTCATATTGTCCAAATGTTAGTAGTAGCAGTGTGCCCTGAAGTTTTGGTTAGCTTGTTCGGTTTTTATTTTCTTTCAGAAAGTGAAGACAGCTGTAAAACAGGCCAGCTAGCTCCGAGAGCTTGGGTGGGGGAAGACTGAGAGTGTTAGGAGAGAGATGTAGATGTTTGTCTTCTGCAAAACTCTGTTGTCATTAGTTGTCTAGAATGTGATTGGCAAAGATCATTTTAAAATAACTTTGCATTGTGCAGATTGGCCTGCTTGGATTCTGGTATCTCTTGGAAAGGTCTGACCACTTTCTCTGAGTTACTCTGGTATTGCCTGTTTTGACCATCAGCTCAGAAGAGCTGAGTCAAAGTGTTTTTTGATGCAATTCCCGTTCTCCCTGTGATAGGGTCACCAGGGGTCAACATAAGGGAGCATCCCTGCTTGCCTGTGGTGTGCTATAGTGGAGCTGCAGCCCAGGAGATAATTGAAGCCTGTTTGTCTCTCCACCGCCAGCCCCCAACGCTCTAATTCTTTGTTCACACTAGCTGCAAATGGAGCTGATTCTTTGCTCACTAACAGCAAGTAAGCAGCTCATGACCCCAGCAGATGTTTCTGCATTTTAGGCTAATGAGAACTTACTGGATTACTGCAGCCTTCCCTGCCTTGGAGTAAATACCGCTTCGCTGGACATCCGGAAACTCATACTGAATATGATAAACAAACTTCTGGCTGGACTGTGATTGCCAGGACATGAAAAGAGTTCCACAGCGGCAGAGGATCTAACAGCTCTGAATTGCACCACTGAGCCACACCAATTAAGAGCATTTCCAGTGATTATGTGAGCATTCCTGTTTGACTCACAGAAATAATTTTAGGTTTTTTCCTCCACTGCATTTGTGTGTGATCTATAAAGCTAGTGCAAGGATGGATGGAGGACTTGGTTTGCAGAATAGTCTCAAATGCTGCTCATCAGTTTCTTTTAAAATATTTCTGTGCTAAAGTATCTATAAGGCTGATCCTGTTTGTTTTTCTGTGTATGTACAAGATGTATCCTGTTTCCTGCTATTTCAAGATTTTAAACTTTATGCATTAGGGGAGCAAACACAATTTGCTTCTTAAAAGACATAGCAAACTTGGTTTATATAGCTCACATATATTTGGAGATGGCTAGTGTGATAACGCAAATTTCATTTCTTGTTTTGGTATCTACTGTGTACAGGGGAAAAAAAAAATGCAATAGCTGCTTAAACAGTAGACTTTTCAGGATTGCTACCCAAAAAGATAGATTCTGTTTGTGGCAGTCCTTTCAGCAGCCAGTTTTTGTTGCATATTTCTTCAGAACTTTTAGAGAATGTTTTGGTAATTGAAGTGGAAGACATGAAACTATAGAAATGCAGCACTGATCCCAAGCTGATAAGCCATATGCAAAGGCTGGAGCTTATGAGCTTTACTATAAAGCAATACTAGTACAGTTATACATCTTCTGAGTATGGGCAGAGTAAGCACAATACCTGTTTGCTGAAGGCTGCATAGGCAATACTCAAAGATGTCAAGAGTCCTTAACCCTTTCTTGCTACCTTTTCTGCCTTGAGAAATTAAAAACAGCTTCATCTTAACTGAGCAAAATTAAATTTCTCGGATGAGATGTGATAAAAGGAGGTTCCTCTAACCCTCACCAAATCTGGTACCCTCCTTACTTAACTGCAAAGCTATTACAGATAGGCTTTCTTTGTAGGTTAAAAGAGGAAGGTTCCACAACCTCTCTAGGTCCGTTATAATTTGTGCATAAAACTTAGCACCAAATGCTAAGACCATGCACAACTATTACATCAGTCCTATGTAGAACCTGTAACAAGTTACAGTTCATTATAATAAAAGAAAACTAAAAAGCAATTTCTTATTAAATGTCCTAATGACAGCTACTTACTTCTAATTAAGCATATTCCCCTTCTGAATGAGTATCTGCCCATATTAATGGTTTCTTAGTACTATTTCCGTCATTTGGTAAGAATTAAAAATACAGTATTACACTGAAAGTTCAGCTGCTTCTGTTCTGTGGATGAGTAATAGGCATTTTTGTCAGAACTGTATAATAATCATATTCTTGATATCATTATGTGCTGCTCAGATTATATTCTTATTTTGAATGTGCTCTTTAATTAACTTTTCCTTGTAATTTCGTTCTAGAGGTGTTTGTATTCCCAGGAGGTGGGATCACTCTTATTTCTACCACTCTGTATCGGAGCTGATGTTGTAGTTTCTGTAAAAAGACATTATCTTCATTGCTGGTAAGCTTGGGTTAGTATGGCAAAGCTAGTAGGACACTTATTTTGCAGTTATTGGTTTCTGCGTTAGATATCTAGGTTTGACTAACAGAAAGGAGACTGTTACAGAACACAAAAAGAGAACAATACTAGCAGTTAAAGAAGTGGGTGTGGTTTTTTGCCATGAATACGGTACTGTAAAAATTAACTAAGACCTTATTCTTGTCCCAGAGCATGGAATGACTGACACATGTTTTTCCA